CGGCCTTGTGCCACATCTACGCTACGCCAAGTAAACCATTTGGGCGCTGCAATGTGATGTAATGTTTAGAAAGCTTGTCTCGCTAGACCAATAAAGACTTAGTAGTGAGTTCGATTCTCACTGGGTGCTCCATACATTCGGTCTTGTGTCACATGTAAGCAACCCTTAGAAAATCATTTGGGCACTTCGACGTAATGTAATTGTTAGCAAGCTTGTCTCACTAGATCATTTAAGACTGGGAAGGGAGTTCGATTTTCATTGGGTGCTCTATATTTTTGACCTTGTGACACATCTAAGCAACTTAGAAAAACACCATATTTTCATAGTTTATTGCAACAACCAGAAAGCTGTTAATGGTAACATTTAGCGTGTTTTATTTTTGATAAAACGATAAACGAAAGAAAGGACGTTTGAGAGAAAATATGGAAACAAAAGAAAGTTTGCCACTGCTGCCAATTATCGTTTTCATATAATTTGCAATAGCTAACCTCAATACATACGCAAGAGTTTCTCGTCTCAAAAAGCCTTTTCTTTTGTCTGTCTTTGTAAGCGTTTCTATGCGATATCATATGCAAGCTAGGCAAAAAGAATTATGAAACCGCGACTATAAGCCATCAATCGCTGACACAAATGATGACGGATCCAGTAATAATGTCACTGAAGTAAAATTCCTTTCCTTGACAGCACAATGATCGGGGTCGCCCCCTTCCAAGCAAACTGCCAGATCGTACAATTTGCGTATGACAGGCAGCTCTTCCCAACCAATTAGTTTCGTGTGCTTCATTCACTTTCTTTAAAGGTTTAAGCTTTATCATAAGTGCCCCCAAATCACCAAAGATACCTGTCACCATCTAACGATATCTGAGTGAGAAGAGGCGAGTTAGTGGAGATCTGAAAGGAGAGGCGGGTCGGTTTGGAGCAGTAGGGGGGTGGGGACTGCAAAGGCAAGGGAAAAAGAATTCGGCTTACCGAATGCTTTATCATTATTTATAAATACTTGCGTCGTCAGATCGGTGACGTGGAGTTGTTCAGAAGGTGTTGCTTTATCAATCAGGGTTATTTTATTTTATTTTATTTCTTTACTGGTTTGCAATGACAAGGAGCACTTTAAATGGATGCGTTGCGTGCATGGAGAAGTTATAATAATAATAATAATTATAATAATAATAATAACCGTAGTTAAACACCCACAGAAACACATAACAACATATTCTTAACAAGATGTTAACCCATTTTTTCCTGATGCCGTATGACATATCTTGGTAACAGTGTTAAATTTTAGCACGCAAAGTATAAAGAGGAAAAACTAGAGAAAAGACCACGGAATAGCTGCGTTATCTGGCAATGAAATCTGGACAGTTTAAGCTCTTCAAAGAAAGGAAATTGTAGACAGCTATGATCGCCTACGCCCTGAAGGGACGCTGCACGTAGAAGAAGAAGAAGAAGATGATGATGATGATGTTGACAACGACACGCCGACAATTATGAATTTGTCCGATTTTTTTTTTTAAATTTTCCCAGAAAAAAAATCAGTTGGGTTAAAAATATAAGTAAATTCTCCATATCATCTTCGATAAATACATTTAATACACCTTAATATATATATTAATCTCAATATAGCCAAAAATGATAAAATTTACATGTCTATATGAAATAAGGTTTGGGTTAAAAGTCAGTAAAAAACGAAAATACATGTGGTACAAGCTAATATTATTTGCCCTGAATATAACCAAATATAATATATTCGCCCTGAATATAACCAGCTTTCACGCTGAAAATGTGCAATTTATTTCGCTTATGGGGATCTACCGCCACCTGACCTCTGCCTTGTAGGCCTATGTCCAGAGATGAAAAGGAAAATTGAGGCAAAATTGCGATGTGATTGTAATAATACCAAAACCAAAGGTGTATTAATTCTATACTGTGCATTTTTATTTTGCATGTGTAAGTCTAGCAAAAGAATATACATTTTTATATCATGAATAACTTTAGGGGAAAAAATATCACAAATTGTAAAAAGTTTTCGTGTTAGGGGTTTCGTAAGACTTCATCAGGCGAAAGTGATTTTTACGTTGATGCGACTACATATGTAGAAGAAGGAAAAAGACTCTGAGAATGTTCTATTTAATTGTAGATGTACGCAGGCACACGATCCTAATATATTCTTTAGTTATATGTTATTTTTATAGATACAAATATTTAAATCAATGCTCTACTTATAATAAGCAGTATTATTTACCGGCCTGAATGTCCGAGAAATCTCAAAGAAAATGTGTGTCATAAGATAAGATACGAAACCGTCATAAAGCCTGACGTGCTATATGGCGGGCTATTTAGTTATAGAGGAAGCGTCTGGTAGGCAGAGTTAAATTACTGTTTTTAAACTAAAAACTTCGCATTATTTCTTTCGAACGCTCATATCCCCTCGAAGCGTATAAAACATAAACAAAGGACATCATATACCATGAAATGTACTAAGTCCGACAAATATTTTAATGTATTTTTTGTTTATACGTTATTTTTATGGATACAAATATTTATGTAAATGCTATATTTATAATAAACAGTATTATAAAAAGAGCAATTATTTAAATATTTGTATCTATAAAAATAACGTATAAACAAAAGTCGAACTCGTCCATTTTTATTATATATATATATATATATATATATATATATATATATATATATATATATATATATATATATATATCACGCACGGTGAACACTAGACATGGCTTCTTTAATATTTCCCCTTTTCTAGCAAGATTAATGCTCGACAAACGTACATATAAGTTTTAGATCAAAATAAAATTATTTTCGTTTTTCATTCAAAATACTCAAATTTTAGGAATACGTTTTCACAACATCGCCCACGTGACGATGACGTGATCATATTTAAACGGAACGCTGATCTTATAAAAGATTTCAGTTTGGATTGGTCTTGCTTTTATGTCCATCGTCTTTTTCATGTTGAATTGAATATGGTCTATGTTAATTATGTTTTATGTCCTGAAGATGGTCTATTAGACCGAAACGTCCGACGTTGACATTATATTAACATTAAAACAGCATAATTGCATATTAGGATTTTTGTTTGTTTTTTCCGTATATTTTTCCTCATATATATATATATATATATATATATATATGAATAAAAGAGACAAAAAGAAAATCTATTTTTAGCCGACGCGTTTCCTCCTCTAAAGTATTTCGTCAAGGCAATGTCAATGTATATTTATGCAGAATATATTCATTCCCGGATATTTGGTTGAATAATCTAGAAATATTATATGTATTTATACTTATTTTAATCCTTTCAAATTCAGGCATCCATTTCTTAATGTCGCCATTAAATTCATTAAGGGAACTACCGCAGTTTTTCTCATACCTTTTATTTTCCCAAGTAGTTTCAATCCAAGCTCATCTTCAGGGATGAAATGCTAAGACAAAAACTAATGTAATAGATAGTTGTGAAGTTATTTGTAAATGCGCATGAAAGGAAGTTGTACTCCAATTTTTTTTTAAAGAATTACATGATTTTAAAACATTTCTGTTATAATTGCAATTTTTCAAAAATTACTATTTAAGTATTTTAAAAACTTTCTGTTATCGACATTTTAAAACATACTTGCTATATCCATAATTAATTTTTTTTTTACATTTGATTGTAATTTTCTCATAGAGAGGGCTTCAAAAAAAATTTTTTTTTTATTTTCATCGTGGAGCATACTTGCATTGTCAGATAATATTTCTCAAAATCGTGAATGTGGACAGGAGTGTTCTTTCTGTATATATGCGTGTATATAATGTTTTGTGTATATGGACAAGCGGGTTCATGCATTTTCTATTTCTTTTTCGTCATGTTTTCATTACCTTTGTTAATAGACATTCCACATTGCGATAATAAATCTAGCAAGAATGGTGGAAATGGTGCAAGAAGCATTTTCTTTTTAAAAAATGCTGCTAGGAAATCAGTTATTATACACTGTTTTATGTTGATTTGTGCTTTTTTTTTTTTTTAAGTAATACAGTTTTGAAAACCCAATCGATTATTTAAATAAAAAGTATTGCATTGTCCGAGTTATATCATATATTTTTCTATATCTATCTATCTATTTCTCTCTCCTCTCTCTCTCTCTCTCTCTCTCTATATATATATATATATATATATATATATATATATATATATATGAATAAAAAAACAAGAGGAAATCTATGCTTTGTCGAAGCGCTTCAATCTCTGAGGGACTTTCTCAACCCAAATTTTTACTTTTGTCTTTTTATTCGTCTTGTTTCTTTACATATATACATTACCTGAAAATAATTTAACTGTCAAACTGACCAGGGGAATTCAGAGCAGCATAGATCCATCCAGCTCTTATCTCAAATAACAACTTAAAAGAGACTGACCAACACAAGCAATGTTAAAAAAAAATCATGTTAAAAAGATAAAAAAACGAACGAAAACTACAGATAAAAGTTCATTTTCTCCATCAAGACATTCATTTCTGTAGGTCACTGCTACCCGTAAAGAGAATTTTTTTCTCTCCTGTTGGCCGAAACTAGTCGAGGAATCTAAATGAAAAAATAATAATAAAAACGAAAAATTATTAATCATTAGACCCCATTAAATATTAGACCCAGTGTGTCTGAAGATTTTAATTTTTAATGTTTTTTATTGTTCAATATATATATATATATATATATATATATATATATATATATATATATATTTGTATGTGTGAGTGTGTGTGTAAAAAGTGGAATATTTTTTCCGTGTGACGCATTTCTCTAGTCCGATAAAGTCCTAAGGGATGAAACGCGTCCCATGAAACTTTCCTCTTTGACATACTTCTTTCCTCCCAAACTGTTCTTGATATATGCATAGTGTATATCATTATATACAAAGCCTAGGTACCAAAGAGAAAAGCTCATCAGGGCAATCACCATGATTATATTTATATACGAAAAAAGAAATAGGGAAGATTTCGAAAGCTTACAATCATAGCACGTAGAAACACCATTTCCCGTACGATAACTGAAGTTAAACAACGTCGTGCCTGTTCAGTACCTAGATGAGTAACCAGTTGGGAATATCAGCTGCAGTAATCTAAGATGAGCGGATGGTTTAATGGATAACGGGTCGGAATTTTTAAATTGGAGAGCTGAGTTCCAATTCCCTTTCCCGTTCGCGTAAATACGCTAGCTTCGTTATATTTACTTACGCGCAAATATTGGGAAATGTATGAAATTTCTGAATTAATGTCTCCACCTCTTCTCCCGCAAGTTAGGGCATAATTTGTAAAATCTGTATGACTAATCCATTTTTATACCCCCTTCACAAAAATATAAATAAATAAAATTGCGTAAAATATATTTATATTTCGGCATTAAAGAAAACATAGGTGTTTGTATACCGTTAACCGAAAACAATAAAATTAAGCCTTACAAATACTTTTTTATTTGTTTTACTGTATGGATGTAGCCACAGATATATATCACTAAAATTAGTTATTTTCGATTCGTTGTACTCTTGTTTTGTTTTATACTGATTTTTTAAGTGTATCTTGTATGTGGCACAAGGCCTAATGTATGTGGTACCCAGGTAGTGTCGAACTCAGTGCTCAGTCATAATTGTTCTAGCGAGACACGCCGAAGTGCCCAGATTGCTTTGTTTGATATGATAAGCAGCATGATAATATTTTATCAAATATTTCTCTGAAAACAATTTTTCAGGAAAATAAATTTCTCATGTCCAGTAGCTGTTATCACCCTTTTCATTGCTGATGGTGGAATTCTTTCCTAATCTTTTATTTGAAATGCTGTGGAACGACGGCATCTTGAGTAAGTCATTATTTCCTTGTCAATATTAAATATTATCGGTTCGCATATGTGAAAAAAAAATATTGAAAACTAGGACTAGGATAGTTTTTTTTTTTTTTTTTTGCGTTGTGGATTCCGAGATGAAATCCGGTCTCCAATGAATGACAAACGCAAGAATGAAATATTACAAAAAAATGTATTTACAAAATAATACAATTGGTAATACGGTTATTAATCCAGAAACGTGGTTAGTAGCAATAATAATATATATATATATATATATATATACAGTCTGGCAAATCCAGTCTCGAAGTAGGACTTCCTTGGAGTCTACGTGTTTGTAACTGACTTCTACAAGCGGTTACCTCACACTATTACTCTACCTCCAACTCAATCACAATCTCTATCTCTCTCTACTCTGACTGACTTTTGGTATTTAACGGCAGCAGTCCAAGTACACACTGGAAGAGTCCACTTGTATGAAAAAGGGGTGGACCCCATAACAAAAAGTAACATTGAGATTAAAACAATTGCCACCTGAGATAAAATATTTGGAAAAGAGAAGAGCCTCAACTCAGCTCTGAGAACTAAATGTTTACTCTGATCAATTTACACTATTGTTCGGTCTGTTGTCATCTTGATTTCGGCCGTTGTACCCTGCTGACTTCTTCAGCATTTGTCTATATCTCTGCGATGAGGTATTTTAATTATTTACTCTATTTACAGTGTTCAGACTATTATCGTCATCTTAACTGCCACATTCTCTAAGTTTCGACCGTTGTACGCTCCGACATGCTTCAAGATGTGTCTATAGTTCTGAGGTGAATATTTTAATTATTTAGAATATTTACATTGTTTGGACTGTTGTCCTCGTCTTCATTGCCGCATTTACTAAGTTTCGATCGTTATAAGCTCCGACCTTATTCAGGTTCTCTTTATATTTCTGAGATGAGGTATTGTAGTTATTTACACTATGGACATTTTGCGGACTGTTGTCCTCATTTTGATTGCCACATTTACGACGTTTCGTTCTTCTTCAGTTGATATCAGTTGGAATTTCGATCCGAACTCTTTATCTGTACCTCATCTCAGAAATATAAACAGATTTTTTTTCTTCTGATCGAATAAGAAAATGAACGAAATAGGTGTTGACATGATTCTAGATTTAAGATAATAGTAGAACAGACAGTAAAGAATAAGAGACATTTCGAAGGTTTTTGGGTTTTTTTTAAAAATAAGTAAAATCTCAACTAAGAAAAGAAAATCAAAACCACAAAAAAAAGTAAAAGAAATGTTTTTATTCAGTCGGATTAACGATAAAATCTGACCTTACGGCTGTTAACATTGGAAATTATCGAAAAACAGATAAGGATTTAACACATCTTAAAATCCGACATCCTATGAAAAAGATATGCAATAAACACCTGCATGAATAAAGATTGAGTGATTCATGCATTTTTTACGGTTTATCAACCCTTTGTAGGTTAGTTAAATCCAGAAAATAATTATAAGAATTTTTTAAAGGTAATATGATTTAGTAATAAATTTCTTAATAATTAACCCATAGCTGGAAGGAGAGAGCAGGTGGGTTCATACATAATCATAACTTGTAATTTTCATATTCATTGTTTTTTTCATTGGGCAAAGCAATTTTTTTCTTTTAAATATATTTTTTGTATTTTCTTCAAATGAATAAATTCAAAACCGTGTCATCAGTGATAATAAATACCAAATCGTCAATTGTAGAAAATATTTTCTCCAAATAAAAAATATCAACTTTTTCCCCATTTCTTACTCGTATGATATACTGTAGCGAAAATGGCAGCTTCACTTTCAAGAAATAATTACTTTAATAATTTTATTACTGCCCCTCTAATGATGAGCAATAACTTATGCAGTCCACTAGTCAGAAAATCTTCCCTATGTCTATTTAAAAATATCAGAACGACAATGTCAATTTTGCTTAGGATGAGAAAGAGATAGTTTAAATTTATGGCACATTATGAATAAAAAAAAGGCTGACAGAACTTGACACTCATAGGAAATAATAACAAAATTATAGATAGAGTGAAACTGTGAGTAACATAGCTAACGTGCTTGTGTCAATAGATGGCAGGACTGGGAAGAACAGCAAGGGAATCAACACTGCTTAGATCTAAAAGGATAGGGATTTGAGTAGAACCATGTTCCTTCACGTCCTAACATATGGAAGATTTTAAAATAAATTTATTCTATGACTGTTATTTTTCGGAAAGACGTGTATGAGATTTTCCCCTTAGTGTATGTTTTTCTAGTGAAACGTACTGAACAGCATTGCTCGGATTAATTTACCTGATCAGAAAAATGACAGCCAAGAGATAAGGGTAAATTAAAAACAAAACAAAAACAGATTTTTGTTGGCAATCTGAGCAAAATGATGACGATATCTTCACGATTTGATAGTCATATATGTAAGTTAACTCGTCCTGCGTATGACGATAAACTACATCCGGCAGCAAGGCCACAGATCGAGAGGTTTTGAGGAGCGTGGAACCGCATCTTAATTACTGTTGTTCGTAAGTCCTCCCTAACCCAGGGTAGTAGCATCCGTTAAGGTCCCAGCTATGGGTAATTAATGAAACACGGATTTGGGCTCAAGATATGAAAATGTAAAAATATATTAGAGAAAATAATCAGCAACTGATATTTGAGCAACAATAATTACCAATGATCACAAGTGAATAGAATTTCTGTATTAAATGACACATAAGGAGTTGCAATACCGTTAAACAAACGAAACCTAACTTGACGGTGATGATAAAGAGTTACTGCATAACAATAATGATGATGATATTCGTAAGTTGACGATGATGATAATGGTTTGCTGCTGCTGCTGCTGATGATAATAATAATAATAATAATAATAATAGGCAGAAAGAAGCATTAACGACTGCTTTTATGAGATTCCCTTTGACTTGACAGGATTTTTCTAGTTTCCGGTAAAATGATTTCCGACTTTATATTTTCAATTCAACATGTTCTTTTATGTAATTTTTTATAACAATTTTATTTCATATCAACATTTTTTTTTATTGTTTTAGTGTAAATTCTTTTTTTTTTTAATCGTTTTTCACAAAATTATTTGTTTTTTTTTCTCTCTCTAATCCATCATTTCTGTTTCACTGGCCATGCGCTTAGCGTTCCCCTATTTTTTTTTCTTTCTTGTTTACTTTTAAAGAATCAGATTATGTTTTGTTTTGTTTTTTTTTACATGCTTTACGCAACCTTTCTTTTTTTATATAGCCATTCCTAATTCTTTTCTGGCTTCGATTTTTGTCATTGCTATTATTACACGTATTAAAATATATCTACATTTTTATTTGACGCTTTCTTTTCAATTATAGTAACCTTAATCATTCGAAATGGACATGAGCTATCATTTTTGACATATGAATAATTCAAGAATGCAATTGCTGGAATAGTAAATAAGATTTCGAAAATGCGTGGAAAATCGCTGTTAGTCTGCCAGAGTTGAATGCTAATCTTTATAAAAAAAAGTTTTTTTTGGCCCACTGTACATATGATTAATAATACTGAAAATTAATAATAATAATAATGATAATAATAATAATAATAATATTAATAATAATAGTAATAATAATAATAAACAAAATGACTGACGTAACTGTTCCAATATTTTCAGCAATTAAGAGAAGAGCGTGATGTAAGAAAAGATAAAGAAAGGAAAAAAAAACTGTGTTTGATAATGGTAAACAATATTTCGACTGTAGGTCTGTCTTCTTCAAGTTATATTAAAAAATATTTTCAAGTATAAACATGAATACATCTCCAAAATATTATAATTCTTTGTTTTTTCATTGCAGTCATATATATAAGTTAACTTGTCCTGGGTATGACGATAGACTACATCCGGCTGCAAGGCCACAGATCGGGATGTTTTGAGGAGCGTGGAACCGCATCTTAATTGCTGTTATTCGTAAGTCCGCCCTAACCCAAGGTAGTAGTTAAGGTCCCAGCTATAATTACGTTTACACAAAGTCTTATAATTTTACACAACCCCTAAGAGAAGAAAGCTTCTCTTTCGTGTTGTGTAATAATAATAATAATAATAATAACAATAATAAAGTACATCAATAATTCCAGTTGCAGGTCAGCAATCATACCAGTTATCGTTGGAGCCCTTGGTTTAAAGGAATTCCTGTTAGCTCTAACCTTAAAAAATACAAAACATTATACTCGCAAGTACACATCACAGCATACGAAGGGCCTTATCTATGTAAACTAT